TTTAGCTAGCCTTTTGCTACTTTTAGCTAACATTTTGCTACTTTAGCTAGTCATTTGCTACTTTTAGCTAGTCTTTTGCTACTTTTAAATAGTCTTTTGCTATTTTAGCTAGCCTTTTGCTACGTTTAGCTAACATTTTGCTACTTAAGCTTGTTATTTGCTACTTTTAGCTAGTTTTTTGCTACTTTTAACTAGTCTTTTGAAGTATGCTGCGCTGAGGTTCTGTCATGTTCTGCCCAGGAGGTCCCCTCAGACCCAGCAGAACCCAGCAACCTGCAGTCCACACAGTTCTAAGGTTTCATGTTTTCTACTATAAGTACAGTTTTTCCGGATCCTGCGTCAGTCTTTAAACAAAAACCTTCAGCTCGTCATCCCAAAACATCCCAAAATAAACAGTTATCACTAACCGGGTTTTCTGGTTTTCGTTCTGACCTCACACACATACAGGGCCCGGGCTCTGCTCACCATTGGACCAGGATCCTTGGTGACATCTTGCTCCAATTTAAGGGGGACTTTTTGATTGGCCAGCATTTTCAGATCATAACCGGCGCAGAAATTCCCTCCTGCAAGAGACCACAAAATTACAAAGTATGGCAGCTGCAGAGTCGGAGAGGAAGGGAAAATGACGAGGACGGAAAGAAAAAAGGAAAAGAGGGCTGCAATTTAATTTATTTTCTTCCTTCACTGTTTGAAGCAGCTAAAGTCAACGCACAGATCATACGTGTGCTCACATGCATCGCGCTCATTAATGGAGTGGATTTATGCGGTAATTACAGCATCGCCCAGGAGGCAAACAAACGCCGTGTCACAGCTTCAGGCGGGGGCTCGTAAAAACCTCCTCGCTCTGTAATGAGCACGTGTGCCAGCAACACCCATCAGCTGCGGGTCAGCGCCGAGCAATTACAGAAAAAAACGTGCTGCGCTCTTTATGGCAGCAGAAGATACAAAACTCGCGATAAAACGGAGATTTAACCCAAGTAATGGTGATGTCATTGTTTGGGGGGGGATAAATGCTTTATGGCTTTTAGGAGTGACTTTTAATTAATTACCAAAGATTAAAGCAACAACTTGGATTTCTGATGAAGTTGTGAGGGGCGTCAAAGCAGCTGCCGCTCAGAACAAGTTTCTCGTGTGAACGTTTATGAAGCGGTTTATTTTTCTGTACATTTGTCAGCATCTGTCTCGTTCCACAATTTTTGTTCTATTTCAACAAATCATGAATCAAAACATTCAGCTCTTTCAGAAAAATCCTGCTATGACTTTCGGTATTGGTGCAACTTTAGCTGTTTGAAATGTTTAGCCTTTTCTGCCATTTTTTTTCCTCATAGAAAATGAATTGAGCTCATTTTCCATCCTTCAAATCTTTAGATGTGTTTACAACCTTTTGCTGCTCCTTTCCCGTTTTGTTCTGCTTCGGCTTCTTTCATCTTCCTTCTGCAAAATTAAACTTTTTTTCAGCTACTTTCAGCTAATTTCAGCTGTTTTATCAGCTGCTTTGTCATCCTTTGCGTTCTGCTAACTACATTTTAGTGCTTCTTCTAACTTATTTCTGCGAATTTCAGCTTGTTATGCTCCTTTCAGCTTTTTCTGCTATTTCAGCTTTAGCTGTTTATATGCTAGTTTTAGCTTTTTGGTTAATTCCACTTTTGTTGCACTCATTTCAACTTTTTTCAGCCTAATTCAGCAAAAACGTGCTCTCTCCGCTTCCTTCTGGTAATTTAAGCTTCTTTCTGCTGTTTTAGCTACTTTTCAGATTTTTTTTTTTTGCTAATTTCCACTTTTGTCAGATAATTTCCACTTTTTGTGCTAATTTCTGCTTCTTTAAGACAAATGGGCAAACACGTGCTAATTTCAGCTGTTTTCGGATCAATTCAAGTTTTTTGTGGTAATTTTAGCTACTTTCAACCTAATTAACTTCTTTATGCTAATTCCAGCTTGTTGTGATCCGTTCACTTTATTTCTGCTAGTTTCACCTTTTTCTGATTATTCAGCTGCTTTTTAGCCATTTTGAGCTAAATTTAGCTTTTTCATCAAATTCCACATTTTTATAGCGCTTTTCAGCTCCGTCCACTTCCTTCTGGTAGTTTAAGCGTCTTTCTGCCTTTTCAGCTACTTTTCAGCTATTTTTTGCTAATTTCAGCTTTTTTAGGTAATTTAACTATTTTTGTGCTCATTTCTGCTTATTTAAACCTAATTCAGAAAATATTTGTTCTTTCTGCTTTCTTCTGATAATTTAGGCTTGTTTTTCAATTTCAGCTACATTTCAGCATGTTTTTAGCTAATTTCAGCTGTTTCTTCAGCAATAAGCATTCACAGTGCATTTTCATCACACATCAACGTTTATGTTTCATGTCTGAGATATGACGTATTAAATAAACTCTTCCAGTTCTGATCAGATACAGATACAGAGGACGTGCACGGGAGTTTGGGTGCGCACGCTGTGCACTCTGGGCGAATGTGAGAAAACGACACGTCTGAGAGCAAAACAAAAACATCCACGTTTAGATAAATGAACAGTTTTAGGAAAGTAAGGGTTTTGGATGTACAGGAAGAGCAGTTTGCAAAACGTTTTGGAAAGTTTAGTCGACTCAGATGAAGTCTCGCACAATTTTATTTATTTTTTTAACGTAAACACATTTTTAAAAAAAGTCAGAAAACTTTCTGTCTTCTGTTCGGACTTTGAGCTTGTTTCACCAAAATCCCACTGATGTCTACGGGAGAAATTTAGCTGTTTTGTTATTTTTTTCTTCAAATTTTGTTTACTTCATACTGCTCATTATTTCCAATTCAGACGTATGTTTTAATGTTTTTTTTTTTATCCTTGAAAACAATATTAAGGGTATTTTACCTGTAAGGAACAAAAAGTACGGTAAGCTGAATTCTGAGGTTTTCTGCTGATGATCACCTTCAAAAGCCTTTAATTCTTTAAAACCCTCACTGATAAATACTTGAAAAATGTGCAAGAGCTGAAAGCAATTACAGTATTTTTCGGCCTATAAGTCACTTCTTTTGCATAATTTACATGCTCTGCAACTTATAGGCTGAAGCGACGTATTTATGGATTTTTTCCCCATATTTAAAAAAACAATTTTTGGCAGAGATATGACCGTTTTCATTCACTGACTGATTTTTTTTTAAACGAACAGTACCATTTGCAGCCCCTAGATGGCAGCAGAGTAGTAGTTGTATGGCATGCTGTTGTATCATGTAATAGGTAAACGTGGCTATAATGACAAATTCAAAAAAGTTCAAGACATAAACAACTGGACTTTATTTATTATACTTTATATTTTAATGTTTTTGTCTTGAACTTTTTTGAATTTACCATGTCCTGGATGACTGAGAATCTTCACCAGCTATTAATGACACAGTCGGCTTGCCATATTTCCACCTTCCTTCTGCTCCTGCTTGGAGCAACCGTCAAACCAGCTGCACCGACCCGGCGAAATGCAGCTAATTTGAGCATTAAAGTGCATTTATTAAGTAAAAATTCAACTGAGACACATCTTTGCTATAATTTCAAACAAACAAATAATTGTTTTAGGAGCTTATCTTGTTAAATTTCAAAGAAACGAGCAGCGTTCCTCCCAGAGCACCGAGGCTGCGTATGCAGCTGATTTGACTGTCAAAGTCATTTATTAAGCAAACGTTAGGCTGAGACACAACTTTACTATAATTTTGAGCAAACAAATAATTGTTTTTCGGCGTTAATCTTGTTAAAGTCCTCCCGTCCACGCTCCCGCCATTTGGCGTTCCATTGATTTTTGGCACATCACCGGCCCACGTTTCCTGGTTGTCAGCGGTGACGCATAATAGATGCGACGTATAGGACGAAGAGACATATTTATGGATTTTTCCACTTTTTTAGACATATTTGGACTGATGTGACTTATAGGGCGGTGCGACGGGTACAGCGGAAAATACGGTACACTTCAATTTGTACGTTTTTTTTTTATTTTTTATTGTGACACTGAAAAATGGGAGCCTAGAGAGCGACTGCGTTGGTGATAATTGACCGAAATGGACTCCATGTGTAAGAACCTCCTCTGCTCGTCACCTCAGAGCGCAGACGCTCCACCGAGGCTCGGTCGCCACGAGCTGCCGACAGAAAAGTGTGATAGGACGACGTTCAAAATGACTTCACAGAAAGTAAAAGCACACTTTGTGCGGCTAATTGCCGAGCAATTTGAGTCAAACACGATGATCTCAGAGCACAGCTGAGACGGAAGGTGTCTGCAGCGACCACGTGGAGACGCTCCAAACCATGAAGCATGTCTCGACAAGCTGAAACATTGAATTCTTACTGCAAAGGGCCAGAATGTCACATTTAAATTCTCTTCTGGTTATAGCCAGGCTAGTTTTCTTCAAACACTTTGTTTTTTGTTCCAGGCCTGTAGCTCTCAGAGCTGGCAGCTTCTCTCTGCAGGGAGAAACCGTGGGCCAGACGTGGGAATTACTGTAACTACTAGAAAAGCTGCACCCTCTAGATTAAATGATCGTAAATACAAAAAGAGCTGCACCACATGAAATGCTTTACTGTCAGAGGGGGAACAGGCGCACTGCCTAAAAATAATCAGTGGAAGTATGGGAAACCGTGTGCAAGACAAAAGTTTAAATCTACTAAAGTTTAACTAGAGATACGACTTTATTTGCATCCGGATCGGGACCACGGTGCACCGTTTGAGGCTCCGAACACTGAAGTATATCCAGTCCTCTGCAGCCACAGGACGTTTCCTCTGAGCTGTGCCGTGGTTCTGGTCCTGAGTGCCAGACTCACAGTCGCAGTTTGAGAAACGGCAGACGAAGTGAAAGCATCTTGAGAATTTCCACAAAAGTTAAATTGCCTTTTAAAACACTTACCATTAAAAACAAAAAGCTTAATTCTACGTTGTTTCAAAGTCTTCTGCAGTACCTGTCCCGTGCAGGACGGCCACATTCAAGTCCGGGTCGGAGTCAAAGGCCTTCAGCTCGTCCAGCAGACGCTTCGCCGTCTCCTGGTCCACCGCGTTGCGCACCTCTGGGCGGTTTATTGCCACGATGACCACGGATCCTCTCCGCTCTGTGACCACAGTCTGACCTGCAACAGATGGCACAGAATGAGTGGGGAAAAAAGTGCACAGAAGAAAACCACAACCTCACAGCAGGAACAGCTGACTACATTGTTTAGGTTCATCTCTGGGAATCCAACCGTCAACCCCACTACACCTCAACCAATTACTTCTGGTGAAGTACTGTTCCAAGGGACTGAACCACATCCCAACCACCTCTGTGGAGTTTGTTTTCACTTTTATTTTAGTCACTTTTTGGGTTTAAAGTGCCAGGAAACACCTCAACGAACCAAAACTGGTGGTTAATTTCCGTTTGGAAAGGTTTAATTTAATGTTTTTAAAACGTAGTTTCAAAATATCAAACTCAAGTCAAATCTAAAACTCATGATAAATTAATTACTTTTACTTGTGTTATTATAATTATTATTTCATGTTTGACCGGCTTTGTAGACCTGAATCGTGAAAAATGCGTTCAACCGGTGTTGTGTCGAAATATGTAGCCCCGTCGAGGTTTGCTCTCCTCCCTGCTCAAACACACAAATTGTGGCGTAAAACGATGAAAACATTCTCAGATATGGTAGATATTAAACAGATATTTATTCCAATTCCTATTCGTTTTCTTACAAACAGATATTAGGAGCAAAACAGAGCGAACCTGGCGCTGAAACATTTGAACTGGGTAACTCATTTTGACACAACACCGGAAATGGTACATGACTGCCGCGGCCGCCTCTGCTGCCACCTACCGCCTCTAATCGGTACAACGTCCTACCTCTTTCTGGGTCTTCGCCTCCCCTTGAGTCGCTGTAGGATTTTACCGAAACCAAAGTCTTCCGAACCGGTTGACCAAATGTTTTACTTTGATAATTAGCACCGAATATTAGCGTCAACTTACGAAAATGTTTTAGCGCCATTTCTGTTTTAAAGAAACCTTATTTACAAAAAGAAAATAGAAAAACCCTAACGAGCTCTGCCACGATGGTGCAACAAAAAACACGTCCGGACAGAAACAGAACATTAACGTTAGAAGTTCCAAGGACACCGTTGGTGCATTGCAGCGGTAAAAACAATTAATGAGCAGCAGAGGGCGACATTTCTCTTAATTTATCCACCGTTGTAATTTTTTTTTTAATTTACAAATTACTGCTCTTAAATTACATGTTAAGGCTCACATCTTACTTGACATTTTTGGTGCTTTAAAGATGAAAACACAGAACAGCCATTATTTTTCACCCTTTTACATCTTGCAAAAGGCTTTTTTTTTCCCAACCTTTGTTACCAGGAGAAACTCACTGAGATTAAAAATCTCATAATAGTGCCCTGGAAATTGTCCAGATTACTGATTCTATTTTGTTTTTCTTTTACATTTTATTTTTCTTTTAATAAAAATTAAAAAAAGTTAACCAAAACAAGTTTACTATGAAAAAAAAAAGACTTCCACACCACATCTATCTGTTGTCTTTAATTTGACATATTGCTATTAATATTTGGTTTCTTTTACGCAATAGGATTTTTCCTCACAGGAAATTTAGTGTCCGTTAGCAAAATATATCAACAACTGGACTGATTTTAATTAAACTGTCTGTAAATAATAATTGAAAGCAACTCCACAACTCCTTAACTTTTGGAGCCAACCCCATTCAAGATGGCCGTCACAGCAAAGACGACTTAGTAAGCACAGAATTAGCTAAAACCAGGCTAATTGTACATATAAATGTAAATTTTGGTGTGGTAGTAGAAGAGTCTTATATTCTTTGGACGCCAGAATGAGATCGTGCACATTATTTACAAAGTTTGACCAAAGCTGTTCTAATTTAAAAACTCTTTCCAGGATAAGATGATTAATGTTTCCCCACTAAAATAAACAAAGAGCAAACATCAGACGTCCTTTTTTAATAAAAGATTCATTTTTGTGTCCGTTTTTACATCTTTTAAGGCATCATGCACAGGAAAAAAAAAGCCACACGAAAGGCATTAAGCTCGTCTTCTAGCTTCTATTTAAATATCTGCTGTTAAAAATCAGTTTGTACAAATATGGCATGTAAGCTGGCATGACGGTGAATCCCAAAGCAGAGCTGCTTTCACAGTTTTGTAAACATGGCTTTGAACAGAGGGCGAAGGAGAAGTCCAGAGGAAAAGGTGGGGGGCATGCTTCGATACGGGGGAGAAACGTCCCTGAAAGGCATGCAGTGCTTGTTTACTCTTATTTACATTACGTTGTTCTTAACATGTATATTTTTCAAATTATATTAAAAACACTAACAGACAGGCTGAAAGACAAAGACATCTGTAAGTTCACCGCACCCCAACATGGACATTGTTCAGATTTGTCAACAAACACAGGATTTATTTTTATAACATACATGAAGCGTTGAACTTTTCTCAGGTCATAATTTTATATTAAACAGCCCAAACGAGGGCTGAGACCAGCTTTAAAAAATGATGTCGTGTCCACCGTGGCAGACATCTGGAGGATGCCGGGAGCTTTGGCACGGTTCGATCCAGTTGTGCTCGTCGGGGGGTCTCCGTGTGCGTTATACGACGTTGAAGACCATGGAAAGATACTGTTCATATGAAACCTGAATCCAGCCGTCCTGGTCCGTATCGTACCGCCGGAACACATCGGTCAACCTCTGGAGATGGAAGAGAAAACGCACTTCAAGCGAACGAGAAAACAACCAGGCAAAAACAAGAATCTGCGCGTGCAGGAATCCTCTTAGCCGTTCGTTCTGGGTACCTGCAATACAATACAGCACTGGATGAAGTCGTCGAACGCCACCTGGCCCTTCCTCTGCCGGTCGAACTTCTCGATCAGCGTGCTGTAGAACTGGTCCGAGAGACGATAGCCTGAGCACGACGACAGAAACGAAACCCGTCACTTTTCAGCAGCTTACAACTGGACGCCTGGTTTTCTGGTCGACCCTTTGGTTCGTCTACATTTCAACGTGACAACAAAACTTCAACGCAGTCGCATTTTTTTGCGTTGATCTTGTAAAAAGGAGAAAGTCTCACGGACTGACAGGAGCCGCAGAACGAGTTTTTACACGCTGTAAACGTCGTGCGGCAGCCGCCTCAAACTTTACCTTCACTTGAACTTATGGTGAAGAGGAGAACGTAAAACGGCACAGATCTAATATTTACCGACGTTAATGACTCGACTCAACACAACGGAGTGAAGAACTAGAACCTGCTCGTCGCCGTCCACTGAAGCCAGAGGACCAAGAAGCTTCTTGGAGTCCTTGAAGCCGGGCTGAAGCCTGCAGCTGTCCACGTGGACGAAACAAATGGAGAAACGTTTCAAGGCCAGACGAGAGAGATTGAGCTGTGAGGCCACAGTGACAAAGTTTGTCTGCAGGAGTCCAAGAGAAGCTTTCAGACCCAAGAACACTGAACTGTCGGGCACAGTGGAGGCAGAATCATGCTGTGGTGCTGAAGTGGACAGAAGAATGGAGGTCTACCACTGAATTCTTCAGACTGCACCTCAAGTCAACAGCTGGTGGAAACGTGGTCGCGGTTGGGCGTTCCAACAGGACCAAGATGCCGAACGTCAGAACTAGTTTCTGATTGGACGAATCGGGCTAACGGATCAGCTGGAAGCTTCTGGAACAGGTTCCTAACGCGCCGACATGAAGGCGATTGAAAATCCGATCCAAACTAGAGAAGTTGCATTTCCTGCAAAAATGCAGTGTGAACGCTTATTGCAGAAGAACTTGCTGCAAAACAGCTGGAATTAGCTAAAAACACACTGAAATGTAGCCAAAATGAAAGAACAAGCCGGAATTATCAAAAGAAAGAAGAAAGAACACATATTTGCTGAATTAGGATTAAATAATAACTGAAAGTAGCTGAAAAGGCAGAAAGAAGCTTAAGCTACCAGAAGGAAGTGGAAAGAGTTGAAATTAGCTTAAAAAAATGTGGAATTAGCTGAAAAAGCTAAATTAGCATAAAACAGCTGATAGTAGCTGAAATAGCAGAAAAAGCTGAAACTAGTTGAAAAAGCTGAAAAGAGTATAACAAGCTGAAATTAGCATAAAGAAGTTAATTGGGCTGAAAGTAGCAGAAATTAACACGAAAAACTTGAATTTATCTGAAAACTGCTGAAGTTAGCTAAAAATGCTGAAAATGTGACAAGCTTAAATTAGCAGAAGAAAGCAAAAAGAACATGTTTGACAAATTAGGCTGAAAGAAGCTGAAATTAGCTAAATAAAGTGAAAATGATTTACAAAAAAAGCTGAAATTAGCACACACACACAAAAACAGCTGAAAAGTAGCTAAAATAGTAGAAAGAAGCTTAAATTACCAGAAGGAAGTGGAGAGAGCACATTTTTGCTGAATTAGACTGAAAAAAGTTTAAACAAGTGTAAAAAAATGTGGAATTAGCTGATAAAGCTCAAATTATCACAAAAAAGCTAAATAGTAGCTGAAATAGCAAGGAAAGCTGAAACTTGCAGAAATCAGCAGAAAGGGGGAGAAGATGAAATTAGCTAAAAGAATTTAGAAGAAGCACAAAAATGTAGTTGGCTGAAAGAATCAGAAATGAACACAAAACAGCTGCAATTAGATGAAAGTAGCTGAAAAGTTTAAATTTGCACAAGGAAGCTGAAAGTAGCTGAAGCAGAACAAAATGTGAAAGGAGCAGTAAAAGGTTGTAAACAGATCAAAACGAGCTCAACTCATTTTCTATGATTAAAAAAATGTTTAAAAAAAAAAAAGCTAAATATTTAAAAAAAACTAAAGTTGCACTAAAAGTTCTAGCAGGATTGTCTTGAAAGAGCTGAACATTTCGATCTATGATTTGTTGAAGTAGCTGAAAACTGCGGGACGAGAACTGTGCTGAAAATCGTACAGAAGAAAAACGGATCCCAGCAGTGAACGACCCGAGTCACGAGGAAGAGCGTCAAATATCTGAGCTCCAGCAGGAAGCTCGTTGATGGAGACAAACATCCTGAGGAACGGTCAACCAAATGTTAGCGGGATAATTGAGCCGATAAGGACAATAAACAAACAGATTCAAACTTGTGAACCTGGTTCCATTGAAGTTGTTGATGTGGTCGCTCCATCCTGAAGAAAGAACGGTTCAGATGATTGATAAAAGACGGATGAAGAGGCGAGTTTAAAGCCGTTAAATGTTCTCCTCTCCTCCTAAAACGCTGCTTCCATGAGTCCTCCACCGCAGCAAACAACACAAACTAATCCAAACGTCGCTGCTCACCGAATCCGGTCAGCGCCAGCTTGAGCTCGTTCCTGTCGATGAAGCCGGAGTTGTCCCGGTCGTAGTTCCTGAAGATGTTCTGCCAGTCTGTGATGTACTTCCAGACGCCGGCGAACTCGTTGAAGTTCACGCCGCCTTTGTTTTCCCTGTCGAACATGGCTGAGAGAAGAAAGGAGAGTCAAGCACCCCGCCTTTCCCTCACACAGATCAAACACGCGGCTGCGTAAATTAAAACTGAAGAAATGAGTTCTCCACACGCACGTTCCACTCCGGATCAATCCAATTACCTCCCAACAAAAGGAGCGTTATCGGGGGACGAGCCGCTGCCCAGGACTATTAAACAACGCATTTAACGGCTGCTGAGCAGGATTTACTCTTAAAGTCACTCGACACAAACGAGCAAGGTGCAGTCGCCTAGAGACAAAGTCCATTTAAAAACAGCTGTGAGGAAACAGGAAGTTTCAGGAAGCAAAAATTACGTTTACGAGCCGCAAATTGAAACATGGAGGAGAAAAACTGCCTTTAATGACCACCGTGCATTCCAGCAGACTTGACCTTAAACATGGCGGTGGCTGCAAAGGTGCGTACAAGGTGGCCAGAGGAAGGTACACGATATTATCGGCTTGGTATCGGTATCGGCTGATATGAGCGATAAAGTTAAATATTGGACTTTGAAAATGTACAAACTTGCACTGTTCAAGTGTTGTCATTGTGTTAGAGAGAGTAAATGTCATGAATAAACTTGACATTAAACATAATCCAAGTTGAAGTGTTACTAGGCCTGTCGCGATAAACAATAAATCGATTAATCGCATGATGAAAATTATCGACCTCATTTTCATTTATCGGCTTTATTGTTTCTTCGTCTCTCTTTCTACTGAAGACACTGGAAGACAAAAGGCTCCACTCCGGTGCTCTTCACCGACCCCTCCCTTTCTCTTTAAAATCTGTTTTAAATCGTCCAAAGTTGTGTTTTGGGGTTGTTAAAAAGCAGCTAAGATGAGAAGCTAAGCTACGAGCTAAGCTAACAGGCCGGCCTCGAGAATAAACCTCCGTCTTGTCAAAGCTCAAAAATTCACGGTTGAAACCCGCGCCTTCGTGTAAAAAGTTGTTTTTTCTCTGCAAAAAGAAGCTGAGAACTTGTTTACTGATTTTTTTATTAAAAGCGTTGTGTAAAAAAAATGCTAAACAGCTCAAATCACCGAGCGTCTCACGTCAAGGGCCCTCCCTCCCATTTTTCTTAAAGAGACATGCTGCTCAACTGTCCGTCCTTTGGTTCAAACCGTCTTATACTGCCATCAGGTGGTCGAACAATGTACTACACACCAAACAAATCAACATTTCTTCTAAAATTTGACAATTAATTATTGTTAAATTTCAAACAATATTATCGTTTATCGCAATAATTTCTGAGAATTAATCGCCCAGCAAAATTTGTTATCGTGATACGCCTAAGTGTTGCATCATTTTCAGCCTCTTTATGGCATCTGCATTTGGTAGCAGGCCAAACTGACAAAGACCATGAAGAATAATGCATTTTAATTCCACTGCAGTGAAAGCTTTGTAGTCTCTGTACGTAGGTCTAGGAATTTCATTTTATTTTATATCGTATTGGTTATCGGGCCAATAAGTTTTAACATATTGGCATATTGGATATCAGCCAAAAATCCAATATCGTACTAGAAGGTATGAAATGGGCAGCAAATTAACGTGCACGGCCTAGAATACAGTTTTTGAAGCCGTGAGTTGTGGAAAAAATGAGGAAGACTGAAAACCCACCTTGTTAACAAATCTGTGGTCCGGAGACGGAGCGTCTACTCCAGGTGTCTGCGGCTCCTTCCAGCTTTCACCAAAACTAACGCAAAACTGCTTTTTATTGGTTGTTACACAAACAACAACAAAAAGTACTAGTTTTAGCCGTTTCCTGTCATTTCTTTTGTAAATAATTGAACTTTTTGCTTTATTTCTATACTTAGTTTTTCTTCCATAATAAAAAAAAAAACATAGGTCTGCATAGCTTTTTTTGTCTTTTTTTTTTATTGAAACAACAAAAATCCCCTCTCTTTACAAGAATCTGGTCTTTTCATTTGTTTTAACTTGTAAAAATATTGACAAACGTTATATTTTTATTGGTATGATGTCACCCTTACTGGCCACCAGACTCCTCCAACAACCCTAAAGTGGCCCATGGGCCACCAGTTGACTACACAGTTGTTGCGGCTCTGAACACTTTTTAATTTAGTGAACGAAGGCGTAAAAATGGCTCTTGATCGTAAAGTTTGCGGACCCCTGGTCTATTTGAACAGAGCGGGTGGGTAAGACAGAAGACCACCCGTCTCACCATAACTGGGCGTCCATACCACTCGGAGTGAACCAACGTTAAACTGGACAGATGTGCACTAAACATGTTGCCTCCCAAAACCTGCTTAATTCTGCAAAGTAAAAATACTTTGTTTCTTTCAGGTCAGGATTTAAAGTGCGACTACAGAAGCAACGAACTGCATCGATAATGGAACGCACGTGGGAGTAGCTCGTCAGACTTGCAACGCCTCGGCTCCACTGCAGAGTTCAAAGTCTGTAACTTGAGACGCATTTTCTCACAGATCGATATTCGGAGCCTGGAGCGACTCGCAGCGGCTCCTTGTGACCAGGTTTCACCCCAGATGAGGTCGTGGCTGCAGTTTTCCTCTAAAGCAGCATTTTCTCACAGTAGCCGTCTGTGCCTCGGCGACATAACGACTTAATCTGGTTGTCGTGGCGAGGAGACAAATAAACAGCCTGAATGAGAAACGACAGGAAGCTGTGAAAGCTGCCGACTTACCGATGATCGAGCGCACCGTCACTGGGTTGAAAGGAGTCCACGTGCCTGAGAATCAGAGAGCTCATGTTAAAATATATTCTGAACCATCTAAAATTAATATTACTGTACTTTTCGCCATATAAGTCGCACCTTTTTGCATTAATGTGCATGTTCTGCGACTTATACGGTGAAGCAACTTATTATGTAAATGAATCTTCTAGGCTCATTGTGACTTATCTGTCTAAATGAAGGTTGAATGAATGAACATTTATGTTTTCCCCATATTTATAAAGATTTTTGTCTGAAATCTGTTGATTTCATTCATTCGGACATGGAAAATATTGAACACTACCATTTTCAGCCACTAGAGGGCAGTCAAGTAATATGGCAAGCAAAGTAATAATAATAATAATAATAATGTCATCACAATGTCAGCACTGTATGTTTCCATACAATGGCGAAATTAGTCTCTGCATTTAACCCATCCACCACCAGGTGGTGCAGTGGGCAGCTATTGAAAGCGCCCGGGGGACATTTTGGGGATTAGACGTGCTGCCCAGAGACGCCACGTGATGTGCAGTGACTGGGGATCGAACCTGGGACTCTCGGGTCCCAAGCCGGCTGCCCTGCCTCTACACCATCTCGGCCCCAAAGTGTCTCATTAATGGGTAAAAGTGACTATTAATGAGACACTTGGCTTTCCATAGTGTACCGCGGAAAGTACGATTATTTTTTAAATCATGACTATCGCATCTAATCGAGTCAATGCAAACTGGAAGAAAAGGTTCAGAGACGACATTTGCGGCACAGATTTCACCAAAGACCAGCTGGATTGTTTTAGTTTCCTCTGTCACCTCCTCATATTGGATATTTATGGTCGTGGAGCCTTGATGAGTTTTGATTGGGCCTGTTAGGAACCGAGGTCCGGTTCAAGGTAGCCAGCTGTACTGACGGGAGCGAGGAAAAGCCGTCGAGGACTGCCGACGAATGACGGCGGCGTTTGCTTCAATTAAAAAAAGCGAGTGGAAAGAAGAAAGATTGATCTCGTTGACAGTTTGTGATTCTTTCCCACAAAACAGGAAGTAATTTTTCATCTGGAGGAACCATTTCAATCACGAAAAAACATAAAACTGTCATTTTTACGGAGAACAGAGACTTACGGACCAACGTCCAGGCGAGGATTTTTACTTTTACGGCTTGTTTCCCCATCTGCTCTGAAGACGGAGAAATATATGAGCGTATCTAAATGTGTGCGGTCGCCAGCTGTTTGTGTAGCAGCCAGAACACTTGAACACCAGGAGCAAAGGAAGGAGACGCAAGAGGAGACGACCAAAAAACAGGAGACGCTGCATTTTTTATTTAGCTAATCTGATCACAACCGAAGCTAAAAGCTGCAGAAAAGAAAACAACATGCAGAACAGATCTTTAATAGTAGCTAAAGTTAAAGCAGATGCTAAAGCTAAATATTGTATATTTAATGTGTATTTTGCAGTAAAGTATTTTTATCAAGGTACAACAAAAAAAGAGTCTCTGTATTACGGATTAGTGTCCAAAAAAAGTGCTGAAACATGAACCGACGCCTCGATCGATACAAAATTCGGCTGTCACGTAAAGCGTCAAACATTCAGCTCGTGGTTAAATAAGCAGAAGCTGAACATCTGCGCAGCTCCAGTGATGAAGCCATTAAAAAAGAAAAATCAAGAACGAGCCGTGAGCTTTTCACACGTTTCATCACACCAGGAAGCAGCGGTGAGGTCACCAGACTGAACCGGCGTGACGTGTCCAGCGGTAAAGCGGGACAATCCCCCCTCTGTCCCGCTCAGACACTGAGCTCCTCAGTGGCGAAGAGGAGGACTGAGGAGGAAGGCTGCTGGAAAAATGTGACTGCAGCGTTTACACAAACATTTAACGGCCGACATGCGGTTCAGTCACACGCTTGTACCTCTACGTAAGCGAGCACGCTTCCAAACACGCGTTAGATGTTCAGCTACACCTCACAAAGTGCCAACAGACACGGACCGCAACCTGTGAGGGCGAGGCCGGGGTCCGACGAAGGAAAAAGAAACACTGCGATCCGTTTTTAAAACAAATCATTACAAAATGGACAGAGCCTTTTTATATTTTCAGGATTTTTCCAGGCTCAAATTGAGCAGCGACAACCTTGAAACGGATTATAATCTGGTCAGGAACAGAATATAAATCAAGTGAGTCAGGCTTCAGCTCCAGAACAAGTCCATGTAAAAGAGGTTTCACTTTGAAACCCAGATTACCAAAAAGATGAGCAGGTACTGAGGCACGACAATACACAAGATGTCCCGTGTCCATGATTTAAACCAGAGGTTCTCTTCTTTCTAGAGCAGGCCGGTCGCAATAAACAATAAATCATTTAATCACGTGATAAATGAAAATGATCAACCTCGTTTTTATTTATTGGCTTCATCGTTTCTTTGTCTCTCTCTTTCTACTGAAGACACTCGACGACAAAAGGCTCAACTCCGGTGCTCTTCACTGACCCCTACCTTTCTCTTTAAAATCCATTTTAACGATCCAAAATCGTGTTTTTGGATCGTTAAAAGCAGCTAAGCTGAGAAGCTAAGCTACGAGCTAAGCTAAGGGGTCGACCTCAGGAAAAAACCTCTGTTTTGTCGAAGCTCCAAAATTCACGGTTAAAACCCGTGTCTTCGTCTAAAAAGTTGTTTTTCTCTGAAAAAGAAGCTGAGAACTTGTTTACTGATTTTTTTTATTAAAAGCTTTGTTAAAAATGTTATGCTAAAGAGCTCAAACCACACCGAGCATCCGCCATTTTGAGAACTGAAGACAGACAGCCCAGGTCACGTCAAGAGGCCTCCCTCCCATTTTTCTTAAAGAGACACGCTGCTCGCTCCCTCACTGTCCATCCTTTGGTTAAAACAGTCTTATACTGCCATCCAGTGGTGAAAAAAGGAACTACACTCAAAAATTAACAAACTTATTTTTTAATTTGACAAAAATTACTGATTATTGTCAAATTTAAAAAATATATATATATTGTTTATCTCAATTTCTGAGACAATTAATTGTCCATCAAAACTAGTTATCATGACAGGCCTATTCTAGAGAAGGTCAAAGGGTCAGAAACATCTAGCCACAACCTTAAAGAATGGCTCCAACCTTTGCCAGCAACGTTTTCATAAAACTTGATTACTTTAAAATAAAATGGCGTCTGTTACAAACACCCCAAGACAAATCCTAAGAGTTTCAACGGACTATGTCATGTGTTTTAAAGCTTGGAGCTCTGCGCAGTTTAGAGTTGAAAAAGCTCCACGCGTGGTAAGCTGCTTCTTTTGGCTTTTCCCTCTTCAAGGGTTGCCACAGCGAGTCACCTCCCTCCGTCTCTGTCCTCACTCCATCAACCTCCATGTCCTCTCTAACTGCATCCATGTATCTCCTCTTTGTCTTTTTCCTGGCAGCTGCATTTCTAACATCCTTCTACCAATATACCCACTGTCCCTCCTCTGTACATGTCCAAACCACTGTCCCTCCTCTGTACATGTCCAAACCACTGTCCCTCCTCTGGACATGTCCA